AATAAAACAATTTGGTTGGGGCTTATTTTTTGTGGCTAAACATGAATAAACGCGAGAGAGAAGAGATGAAGGGGTACGGAGAAATACTTGTAGGGTTTTTTTATGCTGCTTGAAAGAAAAGTAGAAGGAGGGTCTACCGTGAAATAAGATGGGGAATTAAGGGTTTGTATGAAAATTTTCCTAAATTTTTTTCTAAAATACAAAATGCTCTGTGTATAGAAAGAAATTATAAAGGTCAATCAACCTGCATTTTTTTTAAAAAAAAAAATTGGCCCCTCTGTTTTTTCTCATTAGTTTTAATTTTAATTTTAGTTTCCCCACTAACAAAAAAATTGAGAAAAATTAAAATTTGGCCTAAAGAGTGATTCCATCATCAGACCGAAGGGTAATTTTAAAAAATATATAAAAAAATTGGGTTGACCGACCTTTGTAATTTTCACTTATAAGTAGAGCATTTAGTATTGGATGAAGTTTCTATAAAACCTAGGCTTCACCTTAAATTCTCGTTTAGAAAGAACTTTCGGTAACAAGAATCTCTATGATGGCTCTAAATTCAATTTCCCACATGGACAATAAAATTTGAAACTAAAAAATGGAACAGATCTTGTGGATCGTTGTACACTTTTTTTTAAGGCGAAATGAATAGTCTAGATAATTTGTTAAAATATCTATTTTTAAAGCTTAAAATCCTACTTTTTTTTCTCACAACGACAATATTCAAGCCGATGATCGATGTAAAGGTTTTCCGATGCTTGAATTACAATTTTTGACGAGTTACGAGGTGAAGCTTCATTTATTTTGATAGAACTGCAGCCCTATCAAACCATTTTCCTTTAGTATTTTAAAAAAAGTTTTGGATCCATATATAAATAACTCTTGGGAAAATAATATGTACTTCATTAGAGTACAATGTTAAATATTCGTACCAAACATCTATTGTTAGTACTTATCGTAAACAGTGGAGTTGCCTTCTCCTAAGACAAATCTTAGGATGAAGTCTACCGACCGAAACGGAAATTAAATAGAGAAAAAGGAAACCAGACAAAATTGAATTAATAAATATGAAAAATTTATCGGAGCTGTCGACTATATAATCTAGAAGTAAGACATGCCTCAAAATTCCATCGAAAACGCAGTTTTGAAGCTGAAAACCCCTCTAATTGATAATCTCATCTTTGAAATGTATGGATTTGAAAAAAAAAAGAAAAGAATTTCAAGTCTTAAAAATTGTGCATCTTGTAACATATTGTCTAAACTGTCCACATACAAGATTTCCATGCATTTGTAGATCGGTTCGATACGTGCTATTTTTTGAGTTTTAAAATTCATAATTAGATGCGACATAGATTTTCAGGTCATTGTTAAAATTTTCGATACGAAAATTACATCTTTCGACGCTAAAATTACATCTTTCGACAAGGGATTATTTAAGGTGGTCCCATTAATAAAACAAGTTTAATGAAAAGTATGAGAAAGAAATATCACTACTTCTCTCGTTTATTATCAGGTAATAAGTTATTATATTAGCATTATTCCCTCCTTATTCGTACAATAAGCTCAAATAGAAGGCATACAATATATTCCATCACAATATAATGAGCCCATGTCACTCTCTTCTAAGGAACAACTCCACCTACTGCCAACCCCTCCCACCCCCCCCCCACCTCCACTGCCACCGCCAGAACCTGACCCACAACCACGGGCTCACCCTGAACTTCCGCCTCCACCACCTCCACCGCCGCCACCACCACCAATAACTCCACCATCTGCTGAACCTCTAGTGCCAAAGCCAAAGCTAAAGCCAGCACCACCTCCTTTGCCAAACCCAAACCCTGAGCCACCTCGACGTCCCCCACCGCGACCTCCTCCTCCACCTCCAGCCCTTAGTAGAAGAGGAGGAGGAGTGGTGGTTGGAGAGGAGGAGGAGGAGGAGGAGGAGAGCAAAGGTGCAAACAAGGTTGGAATGTGCCATTTCCTTGTTTCTAAAGAGGAGGGCTCGAATGAGGATGAGAAAGATTGAATGGGAAGTGGGTATTTATAGAGAGGGAGGGCATGGGCAGCAAGGAAGTGGGAATTAATTGGGAGAGAGGGGGGGGGGGGGATACCGGCTCACTTATGAGTTGATTCGTCGTTGCACCGCAACATGAAGATAAAAAATTACCTCCATATGCTTTCTATTACTTGGGTTTTCGGAAAATGAATTGTGTTGCCCCAGGGAGAGACCCCTATACTGTAGATATATATATATATATAGAGAGAGAGAGAGAGAGAGAGAGAGAGAGAGAGAGAGAGAGAGAGAGAGAGAGTAGTAGTACTATAGTACGTACGTACGTACGTACGTAAGTAAGGTAAGGGTAGGGTACGGGTTCGGGTACGGTCGGTAGTAGTACGTACGTACGTACGTACGTACTAA